TGGCATAAATAATATATGGTGATTCTTTCATAGCAGCATGCAAGAAAGCTTTTGCACCTATAAACACGGGTTTAATTGAACTGGACTTATGACTCTCTACTTAATTAACTACATTGTTAGTTATACTTTTAGAAAAAATAAGAGTTTGAGAAATCCAATCTATTTGAGGGTTGTATTTTTTTAACCACGATAAACCTAAAATGATTGGATTAGAGGGAGATCTAATGATATTAAATACTACAAAGCTATTATAACTATTGATTATTACTTCTATAGGAAGGGTTTTGTAAGTAATATCTCTAGAAGACAATGGACGACCATCTATGACTTCTACATGAACAGGTTTAGTTTTCTTTACTAAAGATATGCTATGTCTTTTAGTAAATTCTTCATCTAAGAAACACACTGAGGCTCTTGAATCTAACAAGGCAGAAGCTTTGTAATGTTTAGGTCCTAAAATAATATTTAATATAAAATAAGGAGATGGCTTTGAGGAGAGAATAGGACCGTTACTAGATGTTGTGCAAGGTTACAGCCGCACAGTCCTTATTGTAGCTAGACAAACTCGTTTTTCGACATATTATCTTCTTTCACAACCATACTCTTCATTTTGTAGTTGCGTTGTTTCTTTGGATAATGTTGAGCAGTGTATTTTGATTCTCCTCAATATAAACATAATCCTTTTTGATGACGACGAGTCTTTTCTTGCTCAATAAGAGGTTTGAAACGAACTGCATCAATTTGTATATCCTTTACTTCCAAATGTATGTGTTGAAGAGGTGTTGGTGTTGCGATTGATCTATAGTAATGTTGAAGTCCACTTATACGGTTCTTAGATCGAAATTCAAGAAGGCGATTGTCGCACTTCACAGCAAAGTCAATTGCTTGATTCAATGTTTGAGGATGAGGTAAGTTAAGCATTAATTTTTTTACCTCATATTGTAATCCGTAGAGAAATTGGCTAATAAGTGTAGCATCATCTCACTTGATATCAATTGCAAGTTGTCAAAATTGTGAAGCATACAATGTTACTGATCGATTGTCTTGTTGTAAAATACGGATCTTATTGGTTGCAACACAAATTGCATCATGCTTGCCAACATGAATAACACGTGACCAACTTATTGGCCGAACTTTTAATCTACTAATCACCTACATATATATATAAAGTCAAATCTACATCTATAAAGCTTCTAAGAAGCTCTTCTACAAGATTTTATATTATTTACCTACTTTTACTTATTTCTGTCTAATTCGTCTTATTTAAGTAATTATTACTATTGATTATATTTGTGACATATGTAGATAAAAAATTGAGATAACATCTATTAATTAGATTAGAAAAAATATTAAATTAAATAAATATATCAAATTTAGATGGTCAATTTAATAATATTTTAGATTGGACTATGAATAAAACTTAGTTGATTCAATATACTATTGAATTGTAGTGTAGGATTTTAAGCTATTTAATTTAGATTCAATTATTTATTCTAAAAAAATAAAAATATATTACTTTAATACTTCATTTGTATGCTCTATTATCAATTATCTTGTGAATAAAAATACAAAGATAATTTAATATCAACCTTTAATGTATATATATATATATATATATATATATATACCTATATATTTTGAAACTAAAATATTTTCTAATATGACTATATATAAAAAAGATAAAAGAAACTCACAATGATTTTTTTTTAAATAAATTAATTGAATTTTAATTATAATAAGAATAATATACTATACTATAATAAAATAAAATAATATTAAATTTGATAATTAATTTATAAAAAAATCTTTAAATTCAATTAATTATCATTATCTATAAGTTATTAAAATTAATAAAACACACATTAAGTTCATATATGAATTTTAATTTTATTGCTTGTTTTTACAACCATCATTCTACACATGAGCATGATTATATTTTTTTAAATTAAAAATCCCAAAATAGAACTAATAATCTTGTATGTAAATATTTTTTTGTTTAAAACTTATAAATTTTTTTAATTATTTAATAAATTAAATTTGACTTTATTATATTAACATTACAAACACAATTTTTTAGAAAATTTGTGTATATTTAAAGTCTAATTCTTTAAGACACTGTTCTTTTCTCTCTTTTTTTCTTTTTTTTTTTTCTTTTTTAATTCATGTTAACAAACTCTTATTATTGCTACACAAATTTCACAAACCATATCCATCACATGAAAATTGAAGCACCGAGAGCGACGGTGGCGATAAACTCGACGTGGTTCCCGAAGAACAGCCTCGTGGCACAGGGTGTCGGTACCGACGCGGCCGAGCATGGCACCAACCCAGCACAGGGTCTGAGTCAGACCAAGCGCATCGCACACCGACTCCGCGTTCGATGCAAGCTTCATAGACACAGCTCCGAGCTTGAGAAGTTCATGCGGTCCTCAGGCTGCTTGGGTAAACTGCATTGAGACGATGGTGTTACCGCACTAGGCAAACTGCGCGCTCTGCAATGCTGGAGCATGGTGTCAAGGGTAAGCTGGCAGCACAGGAATCATTCTACTTGTGGATCCACTGGTGATGCTCAGCTGCCTTTAATGTTGATGATCTCTGTCGAAGAAGACCAACGCCGTTTTCTTTCACAAATTGCTCGACACAGCTGTTTAAGTGATTGACAACAGTTACCTCCCTTATGTCGAAATTACGTGAAAAAAATCTGGGTGTGTCATGTGGGTGGACGTAACTCATGTGGACTATGGTGCCGAATTGCCCATTCGTGCAAGTTTATGCTTGTAGTTAGTTGGTCTTGACTGGAAGGAATGGTCTGAGATGCCTTAGAGTACAGTAGACTTGAAAAGTACCGCAGAAGTCATCGTCACAGGACCTGCAATCTTTCAGCGAGCTGAGTTTCATAAACCTCTATGCTCATCTGGAAATGAGTGGAACACAAGATGTGGAAGACTCGTTACAATCCGTCTCTTGATTGTGACAACAGCATTGAATGGCTTTTGCAAGGACACTAGAACATGGTTGTTATATCCTCTTAAGTACGTTCAATGCCTGGCCGTTACCGGTTTCGGGAACAAATTGAGAGAGACAAATGCTCGTACCTCGTGATTGAGACATAGAACAATATTACACGTCCAACAATGACTGAGCCATGAATAAGAAGTATTCCTCGTATGATATCTTCCAATTCTTACTCCTATGGTTAGGATATTATGAATTAAAATTGTAGCATTTGAACAGGAAAATATACTTGGCAAAAGCAATTTTTCATCACACAAGTGCCCGTTCGGCAGACTGTTACAATTGCGGAACATGCACCCCAATAAGAGATTCTGGAGGGCTTGGTATATGAGAACCTTCCATCGGTTGGGTTCTCGGTGATAAGTGTGAACTCTAAGAAATTGAATGCAGATATTCTTCAACAGAGTTACACCTCAATCATGTCAATGCTGAATTCAGATACGACATTCGTACCATACTCTCTTACAAGGACCTTAACCCTATCAAACTTATTCTCAGCAGCATTTTCCGCTTTGTCATTGTCCTGAAGACCAAGGTAGTTGCGCTACCCATCAGGGGAAGGACAAAACCTCTCTTTGAAACTGCTTTTCACGTCATGTGTAAGAGTCTCAAGCTTTTTTCAACTTCGTATAAATGAGTTTCGAAAAGTAATTCTTCAGAGGAGAAGAGTAACATTAGTTACTTACAAATCTTCTGATGAGTAAGACAATAGAACTAGAAAAAATCTTACTCCATGATCGTTCAATGTTCAACATCCTTTTGCGGGCTATAATACCCTGAGTGAGCAGGCGCACATGCTTGTGGCTATGGAAGTCGCCAAAATGTGAATACGCTCATTATCTTAGTGCGATAATGGACTTCCAAGAATCGTATGTCAAGGTGAAAGATCAATTATAAACACAGACCGTCTCACAAACTAGCTTTGAGGTTACACAGGATCCTCCACAATGACTTACATAATCTGTTCAGAGGATTGACAAACACAAAATGCGTATCGCTCCAGCTTGTTAGGTGACACAAAGACGAAAACAATGGCAGTGATGAAATGGTGATTCTCACACATACTTCACCGGCAAATCATATTGTATATCAGTTGGCAAGATTAACTAAGAAGAATCTGTGAAGAACTTGAACACTGAGGTTCTTGTGACCTCGGTTTGAACTCCTAGGCGCCCTACAAGTCCCAACTGGAGGAATAGTAGGAAATATCTTCATTATGTGCATCAATCTCAGCGAACCAAACAATCTCCTCTGACATTCGAGCGTCATTACGCATTAAAACTGACAATGCACACCAACCAACCACCTCGTACTAACTGCGACCATAAATACGTAGTTGGCATGCCGGGGTTCGGTGTCAGAAGGCTTCGACTCTTTTGTTTGCCACTCCTGCCACGCATTAAATGACCAAGTGCAAACCTAATCCATTGGCTGCGGTGGGTTACGATGATACACTTCAGGCCATTCTGCGTCACATCCGGGAGCCTTATCAAGTAGGAAAAGTCAAAGTTAGTTTTTTAATGCTATACAGAATCATATCTTCTCACAATGGTCGTTTGTTCTTCAACCTTTTCTCCAACTCAATAAATCATCGCTCCATCCTTATAGCTTCTCCAAATAATTTAAACGTAGAGATGAAAATGTGACATAATTTTGGATGGGCTGCAAACAATGTACAATCAAATCTTCCTTTGAATTGTGGGTAATTTTTACTTCATTTCGTTAAAATTTACCCTTATTTTCGATACATGGATAGATTTGAGGAAGACAAACGTAACGATTTCAGTTTTCTGGAGGAATTATGAGCATCGTCAGGAAACCTGTGTGGAGTGAATGCTGACAGTGTACAACTAAACTCAGTGGAGAAAAGGCTCGCACATGCTGGATTGATGAGAAACAAAAGATGTCGACGTTTCGAAGAAGCACGAAGTGTCCATGAGCACTTTGAGACTAATGACGGAATTTCACACAAATCTTATCAAGCTGCTTACAGTCTCCTGCATCTTGCTCTGTAGCTACTCACTTCTTGCTGACTTCTCAGACAGTCAACAGCAACCATTAAGTTCCAATACTATTGTCAACCCACTTCGACGTTGATGGACGCCCGTCGCCGACCATGTTGGGTAGTGTCAGTAGAACTCATTCGTGATAGATGATTCACGATCTGAATATTATTTAGTTCGGTGATATTATTAGTGGTGCTGCTAGTTGCCTTTGAGTCCATTTTTAGGCTATGAGCTGCTGCACTGTCACATTCGAACAATTCGTCGTTATTCGTCTTTGTGTTCGGAGAGCAATAATTTTATCAAGCTCGAGACGTATCCAGATCCGTGTACTGAAGCTACACTGTGGATTCTTTGTCCACTTCATTCATGATGTCCGTCGCTAACTACTTCACTGTTGATGCCTTGGAGTTTCCACGAGGACTTTCTGGCGCCGTGGTTGGCGCTGATTGACTTTGGAACATCCAATTTTCTTCTCCAAAACTAGAGTGATGATAGATCAGCAACGTCAGGCTACAATGATCTCATTCTCTTCTATCCATGAGTGTTGCGTTTCACTTGAGCAAGCTGATTTAGTGTTCATGAAACGCAGGCTTGAACCGAGGCCCTGTTAGTGGCAGGTAGACAAGATCTGAGAACTGACCTTCTGAAGTGCCAGGAGAAACTGAGAGACATTATCTGAGGAGATAAAGTCGAAACATACATTTCAGGTCGAGCAAAAGTGATTCGGAGATGGCAGGTTTGCGATATGGCCGCACGAATAGGGCAACAGTGGCAATGGCGTCTCTTCTCTTAGCGGCATTGGTATTCCAAGGCCACGTGCAAGTGGGGGGAGTAGCTGTAGGATTTTATGACCAAACATGTCCACAGGCAGAGAGCATTGTCACCCAGACAGTGCGAGAGTTTAACTCAAAGGATCCCACTACACCAGCTGCATTGCTCCGTCTTCTGTTCCACGACTGCTTTGTTGAGGTACTACGCAGCTTTCTCACCGGACCTTTGCTTCTACTTGCCTTTCGCACCATTGTCTTATTGGAGGCGCCACACTGCATATTCTTTCTCTCGGGATAAGATCGACACTGTTGTATGGAGTAAGACATAAGACAAATCGATTTTAGGGTGAAGCACTAGAGAACCTTAGCCAAGTTTCAAAATTGACATCCTCTTTCTCGTCATCTTCGTGACGAGCTTCTGGTCCCTTGTGAAATGCAGGGTTGCGATGCTTCGATACTTTTGGACGCAACTCCACAGAATCCAAACATTGAGAAAATGGCCGCACCTAATCTCACGGTACGAGGCTATGAGGTGATCGATGGAGCAAAAGCGCGGCTCGAAGCTGCCTGTCCAGGAACGGTGTCGTGTGCAGACATTGTCGCCCTCGCTGCCAGGGATGGAGCCGTGCTCGTATGTCATACGTCAAAGCACCTGAGAACCGAATTTCATGACGACACTTTCTTTTCCAAGCAGAAAAAATATCGTAAATTTCCTCCAAGTTTTTAAACGCGTTCCATCCGTCTGTAATCCTCCCTAAAGTTGAGAGGCTCCCTGTGTGAACAGGCAGGATTGAATTTCGAAGGACGGCCGCTCACGATGGCGACAGGGCGATGGGACGGCCGAGTCTCGAGCATGTCAGCAGCAGCTGCTGCACTTCCCTCTTCCAAATCAAACGTCCAACAGCTGACAGCGCAATTCGGTGCCAAAGGCCTATCCCAGGATGAGATGGTAACGCTCTCAGGTACGAAATCCAGGAACCACGGCCAAATTCAGCCAATGCATCATAGTCCCCCCGCTACAACCCCAACCTGAACATGTGCACACGAATCCACTGCAGGAGCGCATACGATCGGCAAAGCACATTGTGTGAACTTCATGGATCGGCTTTATGATTTCCCCGGATCAGCGACGGGAGTGGACCCAACTCTGGACGCGAATTACGCTGCGGAATTGCAGACGCAGTGCCCTCGCGGCAATCCCAACCAGAACACGGTGGTGGATCTCGACCCGGCCACGCCCTTCGTTATGGACAACAACTACTACCGTAACGGATTCGCCGGCAAAGTACTCTTCGGTTCGGACATGGCGCTGTTCCACGATTTCGAAACCCAATTCACGTCAGATCTCAACGTCGTGAATGGCGTCTCGTGGAACCAGAAATTCGGCAACGCGTTGGCTCAGATGGCGTCGATCGAGGTGAAGGACTCAACTGTCGGCGAGATTCGGCTCAACTGTCGGCGAGTGAACTGAGCTCCGAGGTCGTCCCCCCCCCCGACGGATGAAGCCCTATGTTTATTGGATGAATGATCTCGGGTTCTCATCCATCTTTGTCTATACTCTTGAGTGTTGAGATGGTAATAGACTCTCAATTTTCTTTCTTGCTATTATTTCTCAAGCATGTTATTTATGAGTTCTCTAGGAAATGGGTTGAGTTAATTACTTTTGGTTTATAGCGCCTGTTGTGTATTTTTAAATTTTTTAAACTTATTGCAGTGAAGTATTGAAAACAATTTTGCATTTGAGGTATTGTATTTCAACCCAGGATTGAGGTATTCTATTTCAAATACAAGATTGAGGAGGAAAATTATAGATCTTTTTATTATTTTTGTATCTATTTCAATTCATTTTTTTTACTTTTATAATGTGTGAGGTAGAAAAGAGTTTTCCAACAATGACAATTTCTTTAGAGAATTGTTCTTTTATTTCTTTTATTTTGGATGTAGAAATTAGATGAAATATTCAAAAGTGTGCATACACCTTTGAGATAATTCATTTGAAACTATTATTGTGTCGCATTTTGCTCATGTAGAGTTGAAAACGTAAAATTATTTCACTTAGATTATAATGAAAACTATAAATTTTAATGTAAGCATTTTTATTTGAGTTAATAAAGTATTCTTGTATTCAATGATTATAATAATATCTGTTGAACATTTTCAGCTCATTTGAAAAAGAAAAAAATTAATATGCAATTCAAAAATAAATAAATAAACTTGGATTGTTAAGTATATGAAAAAATGATTGTTAAGTATATAAAAAAGTCAAAATCCTTTTAAAATGTTTTAAACTTTACAACCTTATATAATACTGCAAAGAGCTTTGAAAGCCTTCAAAGATTTTTAGCAATTTAAAAAATATATAATAATTAATATTATAAAATCCAGAGGTCACAATACAAGTAGAAAAATAATTAAAATTTTTAAACTTTGGATTGCAAGTTCTAGAAAAAAATAAATTATTATTATGTTTATAATCTTGTATCATATGATTTTATTAATTTATATTTTAATATAGATTTTCAATCTCCTTTTTTTATTTAATTTTATCAAGAAATCATATAAAAAGTATTAATTTAAGATATAAAAAAACTTTTTTAAAAAATAATTTTAAATATTAAGAACAAGAATCTAAACAAAAACCTCTAAAAAGAATAATATAATCACATATCACTCAAAAGAGAGGATCAAGCAATAAAAATATAGATATAAGATTAAAAAAATAAAAATAGCTGGTGTCAAATATAAATATTTTAAAGAAAATTTAATTAAGATTAGAACAAAAGGGATACATTTATAAGATTACATATGGCTTCAATCTTATTTCTACATTTATTTGCTATTAAGAAGGTCTTGTAGAAACTTTCTAAGAACCACAAAGCTTATATAATAAGCATCAAAGGTGTAGGTTGCTTCTATTGCAACTCTCTAAAACTATGAAAGATATATTACAATTTTGAATAGCTATGTGATATATGTAGAAGAAGCTAAAGATCTAGTTTGTATCTTGGAAATTATTTAGAATTTTTTTTAAGAATATATTTATCCACCTAATATGCATTTACTTATTTCTACTTAGTTTTATTTATTTAAATAATTTCTTTATTATGGATAAATTCCACATTAAATAATCAAGACGTTTTATAATTTAATTAAGTATAAAATTTGCTAAATAGTATTAGCAAAAAACATGAATTTATGTTCTACAAAAAAGTGATGAATATGTTCTTTTAACCATTGATAATGTCCCATAACCTTGTTACTAACTTTATAAAATTTAGATGTCATATAAGGGCAAAATAACCACATAATTATTTGATCACAATTAAAACTTCTATAATTATCTTTAAATAATATATTATTATTGCTATGTCAAGAACATGAATCTCAAGGAAAGAAAATACTTAATACATTTATGTATCATTGAAAAGAACTAGAAAGTCACTCAAAGATGATACAACATTAAACTAGAATAGCTATTGCCAAAAATAAGAAGACTAAAAAGTCTTAGAACAAGACTAAGGACTAAAAAGATATTGACAAAAGTGAAGAAGGCTTCACTCTTGCATCCATATATACTCTTAACTAGGAGCTATGTGGCGATGTCCTATAGAACCTCCAAAACGTGTTCACTTTGTAAGACATGTATCTTAACTTGTAAAGCAAGTTTTCTATATGTGTGCTACATAGTTAACTTATTTTGCAAGTTACCAACACATGGTTAACTTGTTGACTAAGTTTCTAACCTACCAATCAATTGCAAACATGTATAAAGTCAAAGCAGTGTCTATAAAGCTTTTAGGAAGCTTTTCTAAAAAGTCTTATGAAATTAATCTACTTTTATCTACTACCTAATCATATAGGTATTTACTAGAGTACATATGTATATTTGTGACATGCTATCTAATATTTTACCAATTTCCGATATTATTACCAAATATTGAAAGTTGTCTCTAAAATTTGTGCATCATGTATATTATAACTTGATATCTATTTAAGAAACATGTCAATTTTTTAAATCCTCATAATTAATCTATCATTGTAAAGGCTAAAACAATCTAAGTACTTTATGTGGTACTTTTGCAAATGATAGCCTTTTAAAATATTAATTTCTTTATTTAAAAAATAAATAAAATAAGTTGATTTTTTATCTTATTTCTTCTTGTTTTATACCATCTTGTTGTAAATAATTGATCTTTGGTACATATAAATATTACTAATTAAAAAAATAATAAATTTTAATATAATTATAAGATTTTTAAATGGCTTCTAAAAAAATTATTAATATTATGTTTGTGTCAAGGCACTAGATATCTCAATTTTTTTTGGCATTGCTTTGAATTTAAGACTACTTTTACTTTAAATTTGTATCAATTAATTATCTTAATAGAAATTGATACATTGATTGTAACATAAGTCTCAACAAGATACACATGAAAACAAGATGAATGATTATTTAAAGTGATAATTGTAAAAATATGCAATCAGATTAATTTATTTAAATAAATAAATAAATAAATAAGTGAAGTCCTCAATAATCCAATTTGTCACAAGGTCAATTAATCTTAATAAAACAACAAAGCAATCAAACCTTGTTACTAACTTTAAATAGAATATATTTTTTTTTTGATAATATCTATATTAATTTTTTATTATTCTTAAATTTCTTATCTCTATTTTTCTTCTTGCCAATTTTTTTAGTTATAGGATTTCAACTTCTACAATCTTCTATGTATGAAGTCAACAAATATTTCTAGAAATAAGCTATATAATTTTTTTATTAAAATATTTTACTATTAAAAAATCATATCATGCTTATAATACATGTAATTTTTGTTAATCTTTTAGAAAATAAAAATTCTTTTATCATAGAAAATTTTTTCTTTGAAATTGGTTCTTTTAAATTATTATAAGTAATTATTTTTAATATTTATAACAAAAATAATTTTTGAATTATTTAAAAAAATATTATGAAGAAAAAGAATATAAATTAGACTTTTTAGATTTATAATATAAGGATATAATTATTTAGATTTTAGATAGATGGCCTATTACTAATCAAAAATAACATTTTTATTTTTCAATGCTAAATAGGCACTTTTAGATAAATCACTTGATAAGCCTTGTTTTTAAGAATTATATGTAATATTCAATAAAAACCATAACAAAGACATACTCCAAAAAGTTTGGTAATAATTTAAGAATTGTGCTAACATGAAATATTCAAGATTTTTGTGGTTAATATAATTTTTCATTAAACTAGAGAAAATTTCTAGGTAATGACTTGTATTCAGAATAAATTCACAGTAGTTAGAAATTTTTGCAATAAATTTTATAATTAATATTATTTGCAAAGAATTTTATAAAATATATAAAATTAAATAAAATTAAAATTATCATCTAAATGTGTTTGTAATAAAATTGCATTTTATAAAAAAATTGATGTATTTTTTCCATTTAAACAATCTAGAGAAATCCAAAGGATTTAATAAATGGACTAAAGTGAAATTCAATTTCAATTCTTAAAATGCTATTTTTATATCTATATAATATAATAATAAATTTTTTCTTTGAAAGTTAATTATATAAATATGAAAATAACTTGAGGTAATTCTTAATATTAATTTGATAATAATTCAAAACTTGTAAAAAATATTAGATATCATGTATAATTCTTGAAGTTGTCTACTCTACAATAATTTGAGATTTTTTAAATTTTATCATGAAATTTTCATATAAAATGATGTATGTCAAAAATTCTACAATTATTGTATAAAATACACATTTTTCATCTCAACATATAGTTTTATATTTCTAAATTTTTGTAACAAAAGATAAAAATATTATTTATGTTATTTTAACTTTATAACATATATAATAATGACATCTAAATATGCCAAAAAATTTATCTTATATTTTACAAAATACACTATTTATTAATTTAAAAAAAAAATTGGTGTATTTGTAAGTCTAAAAGACATTACATTATATTTAAAATGGCCATATATAGTTTGTAATGCAATCTTTTCTATGTTCCATTTTATTATATATATATATACATATATATATACTCTAGCTCTAAAAAATAAAAATTTTAATTTTTTAAATATATGATATATTTTATATTTTGAGTATTTTCTTAAATATATAAAGAAAAAATTTTAAACTATATGATATCCAATCTAACTAAAAGTTATTTAGCCAAACTAAAAAAACTCTTAGGTGACAAGATTGATTAGAAATTTTATTTAAAAAATATAAAAAAATAATAGATACTTTATTAATTTTTAGATTAATAGATTATGCTTGTAACAAAAAAATTGAACCTTAGAGATAAAATTATATAAATTTTTTATTAAAATTTAAAAATTAAATGTTTGGATTTGATAGAAAAATCTTTTATTCAAATCAATGTTTAAAGATTTTAGAAGTTTATAAATAATTTCTTCATATCTTATTTTAATTTGAAAAGAAATTGATTAATAAATTTAGCAACATTTCACTTGATATTAATTGATAATTGTCAAAACTTTAATTTATGTGTTGACAAGAATCAAATTTTATTATTATAAAACTTGGATTTTAGTTGTTGATATAAAATTTTATCATATTCTTTACATAAAAATCAAAATTTTATCAAAAGTGTATCTAAGTTGTCTATTTTTAGATTTTATTATTTTAAACATAATAAGATTTTTTTTTACAAAAAATTTAAAAAAAAAAAATTAATAAATTTATCTTTAAATACTTAAGTTAGATAATTGAGAGATTGGAGTTTATTAGTAAGTTGTACTTGGTTGATAAATCCTAAAAAAAAATTAGATCTAATACTATCAAACATATTGAAAAGAAGAAGTCTTAGTTCTTTACTTGGTGTAAGTTTATTTGTGTAAATTAATTGAAGTTGCACAATTGTTAAAGAAACTCTTATCATCTTTACATCTTTTTAGTTAGTCACTTTAATACTAGTTGGTATCATATGCAAAATTAACGTACACTTGACATTAAATATCTCATTTTTTTTACATCTATATTAAGATGTTTTATATTTCTATTAAATTTTCCTACGTAAGTTAGAAATAAATAAATGAAAAGTAGTATTGCAAAAATAATATAAATTTAGAAAAAATTATATACTACTTCTAAAATATACTAATATTTTTACTAATAATAGAAATAAATTATCTTTATTAAAAATATCAATTTTTTTTTGTTTTGTGCATTAATCTTTTTAAATTGTGAAGAACATGAGTCTTGACTCAAATATAAAATATAAATATAAAGATATAAAAATAAAAATAAAAATATTTATTTGTCATTAAAAAGAGAGAAAGTAAGCCAAAAAGATATAGATGTAGAAAAAGCAGATTAACTATTATCAATTATAAAAAACTAAAAAGTCTTAAACTAAGATTAGAATACAAGAAAAGAATTAATAAGATTTTGAATGACTTCAATCTTGCTTTTATATATACTAGCTATCCAAAATGCCCCATAAAAGCTTCTTAAAGATCAAAATACTAGTGGCCCAATTGACAAAGTTAAAAGTTGCTTCCAACACAACTTCTTAAAAATATAAATATAAATATAAAACAAGCTCTAATAGCCACATAGTATATATAAAGAAATCTAAAGATTTAATTTGGATGTGAGAATTCTTCTTAAAGTTTCTTAGTAAACCCATTATATATCTAACATATTTACTTCTATTTATTTATATACTTCTATTTACTTATATAAAATACATTTGTTATAGTAAAAACTCAAATAACTGTAGTCAATATTATTGAAAAAATTGGTCTATCTACAAGAAAAACTTATTTACATGTCATTAAATTTTATTTTTTATTTTTTATATTTACAATAAACTAATTTTATAAGCACATTTAAAATTTTGAACATTAATTCTTTATATTTAATATAACATACAGAGTTAAATTTTACAATTATAATATAGATGTATAAGATTTTTTAAATATATATATAGACACATAAAATTTTGATAAAATTTAAAATCTTGTAAATTTCTACATCATTAAAAAGTAGAAATTATAACCATTTACTAAAAATAAATACAGTTTCTTTTTAAAAAATCACAAAATATACTTTAAGTTTGTAATAATTGAAGTTTTTCTTACAAAATATTATTAAGAAGTTAAAATATTATAATATAATAATTCTTATATTAAAAGTATCAAAAATTAACAGATATAATATAAATTCAAAAAATGTTTAAATAAAAATAAATCTAAAATAAAATATATATGTAACTCGAATATGTAAATAGCTAAAATCTTAAGAAAAATCCATCACAATTCTGTATTAATTATTATATTAAAACATAAAAAGTTAAGCTCTGTCATATAAAATAAAAATAAAAATAAATACAGAAACAGAACACATAGACTGATTCCTGCCCCCCGCCCCCCCTCACTTCGTCTCAAAACTAACACCTGTAGACAAAAAATCCAGACCAAAATGTAAAATTTAAAGTGCCACCTCTTTGCTTATTCAATTATTAAAACCGTACTAAACATAAAAATAAAAATAAAAATAGAATTTCCTACAAGCACCCAAAAAAATCAAAATAACATGAAATAATAACAACAACAGTGTATGCAGAGAGAAAATATAACGGAGAGAGAGAGAGAGAGAGAGAGATATAGGATGAGGCCCATTGGAAGCAAGAGTGAGCCACAGTAATTGAGAGTGGTCTGGGTAGCCTGGAATCCAGAGAAGCGAGGGGGGGGGGGGGCGCGTTGGAACTAAGCCTAGTGAGGAGGACCCGGCCCGACTTTCAGCAGCAGAGTAGAGTGGAGAACGGCGCCACGGTCATCCCCATTCCCATTCCCTGTCCTTCCCCTTCTTTCATTCATCCATTCCAGCAATCACCTTGCCCGTGCCCGTGGTCCGTTCCCGTTCCTGTGCCCGTGGACCGTGTCCCATGCCCGTGCACACGACATGACGATCCGCTTCTATTATAGCCCTAATTGCAGGCCCCTCCCTCGTCGTCGTGCTCGTTTGCTTGTTCGTACACTTGCTTGCTCGCTTTGCGTTTCCGCCGGGCCCTGCCGAGCTCTGCAGCGTGTCCCTCGGCTCTGTCTAAGCCTCTTTCCGCTCCCTCTCTCTCTCTCTCCCTTCATTGCTTGAGTCTCCGTCCTCCCCACCTTCGCTATTTTTTTTTCCAGTCTTTGTACCTCTCCCTCTCGGGGCGGACTTGCTGACCTTTGCGTTGCGTAGACGTTTCGTTTGGCGCACTCACCATGTCTGCTGCTGCCGCCAATGCGAATCTGCCCAGGCGGATCATCAAGGTGGGTGGAGATTGGTGCCGCTCTTGCATTGTTTGCCTCCTGCTCGCTATCGTTGGCCGCGTCTGGATTGTTTATCTTTTGTTGAATGTGTGTTTGGATTTGGAATGTCGTGGGGTTTATTTTCAGTTGTATGTTGGAATCTTGGTGGAGCTGCGGGAGAATGGCGAATTTCGGTGCCACTCGTGCTGGGGTGTGTAATCGGGTGATCTCCTGTCTGGTGGAGCTTCAGATGGGGCTGTGGCATTGCTGTCTAGTCAGCGGGGGTCTGATCCGTTTCAGGGGTTTGGGGGAAAGTTAGGACAAACTGCAGTGCGGCATGGAATCCGGGTAGTAAGAGTTCATAGTGTTTGGTGCAGTTGGGTCGGTGCACAGAATATAGTTTCGTGAATCCTTTCTTTTTTTAGTGTCGGAATTGACTTAGGAGAGGTCTGGTTGGGTTGGTTGTCAGGAAACGCAACGACTGCTTAGTGAGCCAGGTATGTGCGTCATTTTCTTAGGGTGTTTGTAGAATTGTATCAATACCGTCTGTGATGATGTTACAGTGGATGACAGTGCCCTTCCGAAGTTCCATGGTCAGGGTTTGTTTAGATGTGCTGGTTTCATGGAGATCTTGCTCACCTTCAATTGAGCAGAAATTTGCACGAATCCGAAATGTGTTTTTCAGGGTGGGAATTGCAATACCCGGCCAATATGGTCTCTTTGTGAAAGATTAGTTTAGGCGGGCTTTAACGGCCAGTTTTGCTTCATGATACACCAGCTCCGGGCATCAGTGCATCACCATCCGAGGAGAATTTGCGGTATTTTAATGTGATGATTTTGGGCCCATCACAATCTCCGTATGAAGGTAATAATCGGGGTAGGATTGCTTTGTTTTCTGATTTCATGGTGGTGATCTGTATGAGTCCTTTCCGAAATTGAATGTTAAAGCTGAAACGATACAGACGCAACTATTCATTCAATTGTGGGTCGCAGTTCTACAGAGTTATTTTTGTGCTCTCTTTGTCCTTGTAACTGACTTCTGTGATGGTTTTAGTGATTTCGAATTGTAACGTGGTTCAACACGTGAGCTTATTTTTTGAATTGGCTTGTGCTTTCAGGTGGAGTGTTCAAGCTTGAATTGTTCTTGCCGGAGGAATACCCAATGGCTGCACCCAAGGTCAGGCAACATAAATACTCTTCCAACCTTTGTACAAGTCTTCATGAAAACTTGCAGTGTATGGGAGTGTTCAGGATTGGTGCACCTCGCTTGATGTTTGCATGCTTATCTTGAAGTTCAATATCTTCATCAAGTCTTGTTATCATGTAGCTTCTGATTCTTGTTCGATTTTTGTATGGGGAACATTGTCAGGTTCGCTTCTTGACGAAAATTTATCACCCTAATATTGATAAGGTAAGACGTCGAATTCATATCACTGGTCCCATTGACATTTGTGGGGTTTGAATGCCAGTTAAGCGAAAGCATGGAATTTAGGGCACTCTGAGAGACGCTTCGATGTTTCCCGGAACATCCAAATAAGGTCTTCTTATTGCTTGCTTGTCATGTCATTTTTCAGTTGGGAAGGATCTGCTTGGATATTCTTAAGGATAAGTGGAGCCCAGCTCTTCAGATCCGAACAGTTCTATTAAGGTTAGTGTTAAACACATGCCAGATTCACATAATCGGGCTTGTGTTAATATTCTTAATTTTTAAATTTATTTTCTCTTCCTCTTATTTTCTACTTCACAATGGTATTTTCATTAATAGTTTGGTCTCATACATAGCTTGAAGAATGGGATATACACGGCTTGGTCGAGCTGTTAACGTGTATGAGTTCTTCGTCTACCTAGATACATCACTGTAGTGACATTTTCATTTGGTGGTGGTGGCCAGCATTCAGGCTCTATTGAGTGCACCTAACCCAGATGATCCTTTGGCTGAGAACATCGCTAAGCACTGGAAGTCTAACGAACAGGAGGCAGTTGAGACCGGTGAGTACATTCTGAGTGAAGATAAATCAGTTTGGGTTCTGTATCCAGTTTTGTTTCTAGAGTCTGTAATTATGTGTTATGTTCATAAGTGTTAAAATTTAAAAGATTCCAATGATTTATCTCAGCGCAGTCTTTGCTGAATTGGTTCAAAGTGGAGAAAAAGTTGCAGCGCTGCAACTGTAGAGTTTTGTACGATATAAAATTTTAGTATTTGTAACGTACCCATAGTTAAATAAACTGACATAGCTAGTCATTATCGGACCTGGATAATCTCCCTGCTACATGTATCCATTGTTTGGTATTATACGACTTCATTTAGATATACTTCTTCCATCACTCCTAATGCTTGCCTATGTTTCCTGTTTTTATGTGTTTTACCATGAGCAGCAAGGGAGTGGACTCGTTCCTATGCTAGTGGCGTCTGAAGACTGTTTAATCGTCCAGCCCAACCTTTAAAAAGCTGAGAAGCATAACAGGAGCAAATTTGATGAACTGTGTGTGGCCATAGGTGATAGGTCACCTGTAGGAAGTATGATTGTGAATGAGGCACTCTAAAATTCTGAAGGTTATAGTTTGTCCAGTTAAGAATGGAGGGTGCGAGTAACCAAGTTCTTGATTTATTCTAGATCATTATAAACCGTACCTGTTTATCTTCTTTTTCGTAGTCCTCTCTTCAAATGTTGTGTCCAGGCCAGGGCATCTTTTGGTCAACTCGTATTAGGCAGGCTTTCTTTCAGTTTTGTTTTAATTCGACTCAGTCAGGTTCTGGTATTGTATTTGTACCATCCCCGACCAAGGCAATGCTTAATTTGTAGTGCATGCGTTCAGGATAATTATGGACTCAAGAGAAGATATCATCTACAATGAAAATTCTTTCATGTTTAACTTGTACAGACGGCACTGTTGTGCATGATGCTTATTTCCTACTCAAAATAGGATTTAGGGTAAATTCAGAGTTTTTCAAGGGATCGTGAAAAGCTTCGAGATACGTGTCTATGCTGACTGCTGTCATGGTAGCATAGAATAGACTCAGTGTACAGTTATAGGTCGGCTGGCTCAGTTCAATACCAACATGTGTTTCTATTTTTAGTGTTCACGCTAAGGGCAAAACTGTTGATGTTTGTACTAGAGAGTACTAGCTTGCTGCTTGAAGGCTTAATCGCAACATGCAGCTGAAGTAATGCGACGTTCTAATGGCCTCAATGTTCTTGTGTTGCACTGCTTTGCTACGTCTCTCAAATACAACTTTAGAATTCGTCGAACTCAAATTACCAACTGGAACTATGATCTGATTCTAACTTTGCAGTAGAATGCTAATAACACCAACCTGACAATGGTATGACTTTTATTTGCGGTAGCCACGTTGTGAAATACCTGTAACCGAAATTGTGCAATTCCCCCGAAGATATTTCGTAGAAATGTAGTTGGAAGAGCATGAAGAGACCAACAATTGCCTCAAACCCCAGTGGACACTGTTGGATGTTTAGTGCTCCTACACATTCCAAATGCTACTTGAACACTAAATGCTTTTTGTATTGTCACCAACACAAACTAAAAATGTGTTTGAATGCCAATAATCCTCAACCCAACTGACCCGGAACCAGGTTTAGGTTTGATCAAGTGGTAAAATAAAAAATATTAAATTTTATGATCTATAATTTTTGGAAGTAATAATGATAATGACTTATTTATTTTTGCTTTTAATTATACAAGTTGGTGATTTTTTTATTCTTGCTCTATATGAAATATTTATTCTATTCTTTGTTATATAGTGTTCTTTGTAATAATACATGTAAGATTTAACAAAAATTATTCTATGCCAATCTAAACATACAATAGATATGATTTTATTAGTTATTTTAAATTGAATATTATTTGTTCTAAGTAAACTCTACTTAAAATTTAATACATTTGCTAAATGTTGAAAATGGTTTTTTACATTTGACAAAAAGTGTAAAGTGTCACCACTTCATTTATTTGCAAAATTTGTTTCAAATAGCATTCACGCATTTACTACATCTGAGTTGTAATGTCATACATAAGTAAACCTTGTTCAGAACATGTTCCAAACTTATTCCATGATTTTAAACCAATTAATTAAAACTATCTAATGTGTATCAAAATATCTCTTAGATATATTAAAATACCACCTTTTATTTATTTATTTATTTATTTATTTATACTGGTTGTAATAAAAGAATACTTGAAATAACCTTTGGAAAACCTTGCAACAACAGGCTTCTTATAAGACTGTTGGGCAAGCCTTGCCAAAATCTATTAGACTTCTATAGAATTCTTTAATAATACTATCGCAACATGGAACTTGCCTGGGGCCCTATAGTGAACCTCACAAAGCCATCTCACAATGATTCTGTTTAAAGACTTGTTTTACTCCAAAGATAGAAGAAGAAAAAAAAGTGCACATTGTTAGAATGTATTCTACAAAATTTGGTAGTGTTCAATTATTAATGTCAATGTTAATGCCTCACCCATGTTCCAATAATAGATTTAAAAAGTTTTTAACAGACTACCCGACATTTTAGGAAAGTCCAATTGAGTTCTTTTTTACCATATTTCCTTCAAAACAACTTTAACTGAAACAGGTGAGATGTCAATCATTTTTGTTTTATGCATGTTCCTAATAGATTCTACTAATTTGTACCATTAAAGTATGAGAAAGTAATTCATTTATAACAATTTAAGACTTTGAGACCTTCTTGCCTCCTTGTAATTACTCAATTGTTGACTCATGTTTGCTTGCTTCCATTTCTAAATAAGATATTTTTTGGCTGCTCAAAATAAAAAGATAGCAAGTTCTCCAATTTTACTATACAGACGACTGAATCTTTAAAGTATTAAGGCTAAATTTGGAATATTCATTATCTTTTTGATATTGTAGCTAGACGGTACAATAGAACAAAATAAACAAATAAATGAATAGAATTTCACCTTTTTAAACATAAATTTTTATAAAAAGAATGCACTGTGAACCGTATTCTAAAAAAAGTATTGATAAAAAAACCAAAAACCATTAGGTATGGTCGAAAAGCATCAATAAATTATCATTATTAATTTTATCTTTAAATAAAAACAAGTTAAATCACAATTTATGCAAGGCTTTAAAATAGAACAGAACGTGAACATGTACTCCGTTATGACAAATCATATCCTGATATATAACAGAACAAGTAAGAGTATACATTTATTTATGGCACGTCCAGTTATGTCAATGGCAAATAGGTGGTGAGTAATATCAAATCCTTAAGCATGTTTTTATCCAACTAATTATATCAAACACTAAACAGCGTTAATAAAGCAGAATAGTAACGTTAAAATGTAAACACCAAGCATGAAAGAATTTGATCCATTGTCCAAAGTGATCAGCCGACCTGGATGTGGATAAAGAGAAATAAACTCACATCCCTTAACAAAGAAACCCTACAAATATTCATGTCAACTCACTGTGCTTGACTGAGTGAAAGTAATCAGCCCTCTAAACCCTAAATTCCAAACCCTAAGTTTCAAATCCTAAATTGATCCTAAAATCCAGAAGTGATCAGCTCTCTCTTGCTTACTTTACAGTGGGCAGATAGTTCTGAACGATGGTTCTCACAGTGAGACAATCTCCAGCATTCACTGTGCATCGTTGTTACCGACTGTGCAAACATGAGGTGTGAGTGTGAACTCAAGCTTCAGTCAGGAGGAGGTAGGATAGTGATGAATTAGCGATAGAATTTACATGCAATGAAAGAGGAGAGTGATGAATATGCTTGAGCCGTAATAAGCAGCAAACACAGGTGAGTACATGGGTTTCACAAAAGGGTATGTTACAAAGCTTGTAAGGAGGTTTTTCAGAAATATAAGGAACCTGAGGATTACCAGAGAATCCACCTCGTGGACTTAATACTTGGTATCAAGAAAATTAGCAGTATACAAGGTATCTAGAACCTGCCCTAAAACCAAAAAAAATCCATTTACTTGCAAGCTGTCTTAAAACTCAGTCATAACCTCACTACTCTAATTGTAATTGCTCTGTAATTTCAAAAAAAAACTAGCACAATGTAATACAAGGTGGTCATAGCCAACTCCACTTGTATGCTGATTCGGTCCTCCAACACGCCTTACCTTTCAGGCTTTCATTGCCAATATAATCACCTATCTTCCATGAATTGATTGATTTTTTTTACGAAAAACTGCTGCCACATTTGTGGCAGCAACCCAGCCCGTCCCTCACCCAGCGCACGCACAATTGTGCGACCACCGAGAAATGTATTAGTACAGTTAAAGTATACAAGCGCTTGATGAAAGCATTTAGATGGCATGCATTGCCACTGACCGCATCTGCCAGACATCGATGCTTCTGACGGTGATGGCGGTGGTGGCGTTGTTGAAGAGGTAGAGGTGGGAAGCCGTGTCGGTGGCCATGGTTGGATACACTCGTGAGGTGATCGTCATGCGGCCTCCTTGCCCGAAGCTCTCCACTATGGAACGATCTACCAGGACCCGGAGTGAGAGGAAGTCTTCCGAGGGTAAGACTTCCACAAAGCTACCATAGATGGTGGTGTCCACATCGGGCAGCATGGACGACCTGCAAAAGATTAGGGCAACTTGATTAGTGTTTATGCAGAGAAGGGTAAATTTATACTTGGAAAACACAGCCCAAGCAAATGAAATGGTGGAGAAATCGGTGGAAAAAAAGAGAATACTTCGTTTGATCGCTGCACAATCTCGTCCTCCACTTGCCCTCTTTAGAATAAGAAATGTAGAAGAACACAGCGGTGCGCTCATTTAGGCTCTCGTCGGCCAACACGAGCAGTCCGAATGGACCGAATGTTCCACGATGCGCGGCGCCTCCTTGGCTGCAATCGAAGTGGTCTCCATCATCAATCAGGGCTCCGTTTTGGGACAGCTTGGTGACATTAGGGTACTCTATCACCACTTCAATGTCCAACTGCCCACCAATGGCGCCGTGAACTTCAACAACAGAGCCTGGCGCGAGCCTTACAGACTTCTGGCTAACTCTGGGGCCACGAAGTTCCTTCAGCTCCTCCACAGGTTCTTGAATTAAATTTCGCATAGTTTTTGAATCGTATCGGATAGTCCTAGGGATTGCCTGCCAGGACATACGTAGATTCAGTCAGGGACATTCAATGCTGTCACGAATCTGATGGTGACTGAAGAATTTGAAAGAGCTCGGCTGAATTACAATCCACACACCTGAACAGAGGACCAACCCTTGGCATAATCGGCAGCTTCACTGTCCGACTCATTAGCCCAACCCCATAGGATCCTCCTCTGCTGCGCTGCATCGTAAAACGACTTAGAGGCGTAAAACTTGCCGTAATCGTAGCGCAGACCAATGCCTGTGTCGCGTGACGGGTCGTCAGCGTGAAAAGACTTGCTCTTCACGTTGTACGAGCCCAGGGCGTAGTAATCGTGCCTGTCATCGTCCAAGCTGGCTTTCAGCACATACTTCACCGATGGGGCCGCGCTGTAAGAATCCAAACCCCGGTAGCCGAGCACAGAGACAGGATAGAAATCTATGCATTCCCACATCCCAGTGTTGGCGACGCCATGGAGAAAATTCTCTTGCAACTCCCAGTGCTTCAAGTCCTTGCTCTTATATAGCAGCGCCACCCCCATGTTGTGCCTCTTGGCGCCCACAGTCATTAGCCAGTGTCCATCTACGTCCTTCCATGCGGTCGTGGGGTCGCGGAAATCCCTGATATCAATACCGTCCGGGTGGCGCAGGATGGGATTTTCAGGATCCTTGACCCACTTGCGGAGGAGTGGGTCCGAGGGATCTTCCGGGTAAGCAATGTTCTGCGTCTGCTCAGAAGCATGCGAGGAGCCTAGAATTCAACATATCCACAACCACTCCAGTCATCAGAATCCAACCATCAATGAACATGCAAACTCCTTCATGAAATTCACTGTGTTTAGTTGTAAGAAATTGAGTGGTGATGGTAGAATTACCTGTGTACAAGATTATAGGGACACCGTCTTCACGCATAGTGATGGACCCCGACCACACTCCTTGAATATCATACCACTGATCTGGGACAAGAGCAATATCGAGGTAGAGCCAGTGTATCAAATCCGTGGAGACGGCGTGGCCCCAAACGATGTCACCCCAGACGGGAGCGTTGGGGTTGTACTGGTAGAAGAAATGGTAATATCCCTTGTAGTACATGGGTCCTGCGAAATAATAAAATAATAAGAACGCTTTGCGACTGCACTGCTTAATTCAAAATATACAGAAACTGCATCTGCATAATGATCTAAGTGATGAAGTTATAAGACACGTACCATTGGGATCGTTCATCCAGTTCTTCTCCGGCTGGAAGTGGAAGGAGGTACGGTGAAGATAGCTGGCCACTTCTCGTGGCAGGATTGTGCCATTCCCAGATGTGGATGAGATTGGGGCGTGCGTGACGCGCCGCAGCTCACCGTGGTGTAGTTTGGTTCCTGTGGAGACCTCGGACAGGTATGTCGTTACCGCAGTAGGATGAGCTAGCATTGCAATGCAACAGGCTGCAGTAAAGAGCACAACACACATCCACATCTTGCTTAGGGCAGGTCTGGATGTCGAAGCCGAAAGAGCATCGCTTTGCTCCGAAGACACTCCATTGCTCTCGAGATCCATGGAGGGCTCTGAGACCAGAGCGTCCAGAAGAGGATTCCGTGTCATGGTGTTTAAGAGTTATCGCACAACTGCAACTGCACAAGGGCAGGAAAATTACACTGGGTGAGTGCTGGTGATCGCAAATTGAGAATTAGTATAACAAACACGTTTTGTACTTTTACAGTAAACTGACATTGAATCTTGTACAGCCAGCTCGCTCACAAGTGTTATTCCAAAGCACACGATTGGTATTTGAATTGATTGATCTCCTGGCCATGAATAATTTACAAGAGGCCCTGGATAGCACCAGGTCCATACAACGTCTGGTGGCCACGGTGATTACTTTCTTGCACAGTCTCTGTGCAATATGGGGTGAGTGAGTTGGTCGATTTTTGAACGACCAGATGCTTATTCCATAAATAAATTTCAAAAAGTATTGGACACGTCCATCCTAGCACTGCAGGGGGAGGTAGGTAGTCGTGATAATGGCTGGATCGGGTAACATTCGGAAATCCTTATCTGATGATCAGAAGATCTCACAGTTTCAACGAACGCGGGGTTCGCCTAGATCGCTCGCACATTTTCGGGTCCTCGGATTGAATCGCAAGCTCACAACCGAACACACATGTAAGCAGCAACGCTCACGAGACGACATTTACCTGGAAACTCATCTAAAATGCGGTGTTCAAACACCATCTCGAAGAAATCAACAGACGAGAACCTCACAACTATGAAGTCCAATTGCACATGCATGTTTCCTCCATCGTAAAACAGATCTGCTCACACTACCAACAACTGCAATAATATTGCGACTTCGAAGACACGACCAAAATATATATATATATAGAGAGAGAGAGAGAGAGAGAAAAAAAAGAAAAGAAAAACTCTCTCTATCCCTATCAAACGCTGGTAACAGCAGCATCAGAACCTGGCAAGTTACTCTTACACAAACAGAATGGGCCTCAATGCAGGCACAAGAGTTCGATGTATACCTCCCGGGCTGATAAACTACAATACCGACAGTTTCGGAAACGAGAGTAAGAACTCACTGATCACAGCAGCATCCGTGCATCCGGGGAGGGGGGAAGCGAAGCACACACAGAGCGTGAGAGCTCTTAGCACACAACAGGAAATTTTGGAAGAGGAGAGCCCGGCGCAGGGTGGTGGATTTATATCGATCCGGAATGGCATTCCGTGTTACGTACCTGATCAGTCAGACATATAAAATTGGGGTATATATGTAAAGATGTGGAAGGATAAACTCGTGTGTTGATGTAAGTGATTTCACCGCGCTTTAATTGCGTCAATCACTCAACCGGGGAAAATGATTGGATTGACTTCTCCTGCCCGATGTCACGCATTTCATCCATCCTCTTTGTCCCCAGGGGAGGGGGGGGGGATCCGGTAGTCTATACTAGAACCTTTGAACTCAGGAATCTTGCGGCGTTAACCATGAGTCTTGCTTTACTTTAACATCGGAGTACTAGTTACTCACACTGTGCGAGACTTGATGATCACGGGTGGATTAGGAACATGGGAGATGCTATAAACGACCAGTACTAATTTATGCTCACAGAAGCATTTACGAACGATACATGGGTGCCTTTTCTATTCAGTGTAAGAGGGGCTAAAGAATCACAAGAGCTGTTAAAATTTTGTTTTGATCATTTGTGATGGAAACAATTTCCTACCATCTCACTCAACCCGTATGAACGACGCAATCGTCCCAAGAGGAACCTCTCTTCCCTAAGCTAATCATGCAGGGAATATGGGAGTACCGAAGGAGGACGTGGAGCTGCTTTGTTGAGCTGGTGCACGATGTGAAAGAGTGCAGCCAATGGAGACATGCCTAGCTGGGATAAGAACGACGCTGGAATCACGCTTGTCCACATGCCCACTCCAGCAAGACAATAACCACATTTCTCCAACTAATTCAACACCAAAAAAATTCCACCGAGCAAACCCCTGGTCGGCTCCAATCACCAGCCGCTCCCTTCAGTCGACGCCTCTTGTAGACGTCAACGGCTAGCAACTGCCACTCAAGTGGGACCCGCAAGAAGATTATAGCAAACATTCCCTCCGGAAGGAGGCAAGCAGCCTCTGGATGCGGAACAGCGTTAGGGCGTCAGCTAGAGATGCCAGGAGCCGACAGCCTGGAGCGCAGCGATGGGGTGAGATCTCGCATCTTGATGGGAAAAAGGACGAACTCTCACTGGCAATAGGTGTTGTAGACCAGCGGAGCCCCCAAGGGTGAGGCGCAAGCCTACGGCCTAATCTATGGATCCCTAGTTGCCTCTCGACAGAATGAGGCTGTGTGTGGGCCCGTTTCGCTGCGTGCATCGATAGGTGTCGATCTACCCCACGTCGATGGAGTGAGGGTTGAAGCTTAGACTGAGGAAAGTCCACCGTAACTTTTGTATTCAAAAGCCAACCGTCGTTCTATTCTGATAAGCTCTAGGAGAACCAGCGTTGTCATATCATTCAGCTTATCAAGTCGCTCTCAAACTAAACACAGCATTTTATCTGCTGTGTGCGGTTGTGAAGTACAGAGACGAGACAAACCAGTTGTAATGTGGTGCCATGTTAACTTCACATTCAGGGGTATCAATCTCGCTAATCATGGCGTATAATGACAAGCTACCATTCAGACAATTGACGGTTTCAACATTGGAAATGAAAATAATAAGCACTTTGAATCTTAGAAAGTAGGATTTGATCTCTTAAGCTCCTCATGTAGTGTTGTCTGGCTCTGTATGAGGGTTTAGAAAACTGAAGGCTCGACTGGACTCACCTTCATCCCAAACATGCAAAACCTGCGTCTGTATTGGTTTCTGGACTTGGGAAGCATCTGTAAGAGCACCCTCACAGTGGGCGCTATTGAGCTCCAATTGGTGAGGCCCGAAACTGAACCTCAGCTTTTCCCGGGCGCACGCTCCACCGGTCTACACGATACAGGCGTCCGTAGGTAGGCCCATTTTTTTATTTAGCGAATAAGTGTTGGAGATGAGCGATGATTGGAGAAGAAGATTTGGTGTGGCTCCCTCCACTATGCCAAATCTGGCGGGCCTTACACCTGTTTTTTGCAATAGGCGGGCCATGGGTGTGGCAATTAACGACCTCTCAATTTTGGGTCGGGTCTTTTGAAGCGATCGGGGTGGAGTTGGTTTGAGCAACAGTAGGGCACTGAAACATTGACTTTTACATTCCATTCCAAACAGAATCCATATTTCTTAGGGCATGTGGCCTATTGGGTGGAGCTCCATTCTTGTGTCCCCCCAGGCCTGGAGCTTGTGGCTCAAATTCCATGGGTTCAGTCCACAGTTTTGAAAATTCGACTGTTCAAAGTCAAGCAGCTTTAGACAAAACAGTGCAACACTAATGTTGTTCTGCCATGCAACAGTTTCAGAGGAGTATGTCACTGTAAATAAGTTCCCATGCTTTCCACATTGGGAGTCAAGGAAAATAACAGAAAACTATTCAATGGATACACTTGCTTTCAATTCATAATGCTTCCTCTTAACAAGCAACACTTCACACAAATTTCATGAACCTCAATTCTATTATTAGAACAGTGCAATGACTTGTAATACTAGCATGCTTAAATCACATACCCACATGTTGATATTTACACTCTTTTGAAGAAAATAAAAATATGCTTGGTGATGTGTTTGAGATGTGAAATCTAAACAGTATAGTCTTGACTAATATATTTTTCAAACATAGCCACTAATCTAATAATGTACTCATGGTTTCATTTCACTCCACTTTTGTCTTTCTTTCAAATAATACAACTTTGCAATGAAAAAAATACTTTTATTCAGGTGGCTGTGTGACACACAATGTAAATCATTACTATTTCTGCAGTACATGGAATGAAAAACTGTTTGATAGGATCCATTGGAACAACAAAGTTGCCAATATTTGCAGCATCATTCATTCTTCCAGCTAGAACATAGCTAGGTAAAGTTAAGTCACTCTGGAACATATCTTCTACCCCTAGGCTTGCCTTATCACAAGGTATTAAAACCTGAGCAGTCTCATTCACTCTTGTTTCCAATCAATGCAATGGGCATTCCCCAACTGTTTTAAAAAAATAAAAATAGAAGTGAAATATTTGACAGGATACATTGTGAACTGTCTCTTTCAGCCCCACCAGTCTTATCTTAATAGGAAGGCATGGACACAGAAAAAGGTGACATCATTTGAACTTACAATCATATTTTAGGGAGACAATAATATTTTGCATTATCCTTCTGCACACATCTGATGAAAAAATGGTGGTCGTTTTTGCACAAGAGAATTTTTGCCAGTTGTCAAGAATTGAGGATAGCTTCCACCAGAGGTGGGTTTTTTTGTACCCAACATAGTCCCTTGTCTCTGTGTGTGTATGAGGGTGACTCGTAGATTACGATGTGAAGCTTATCACATATGTTATTGGATGGGGAAAGGTAATTCAAGAATCCCAATCTACCATGTCCTCAATCATGTTGAAAAAAACCCACTCGGCAAGCTTTGTGTAATCCTAAGTTGGCAAGGAATGATGTGTGATGTTCATTCATAATTTATGGCTAATAGAAACTGCCACAATATAATTAGCATGGATTTTCTCATCCATTGTCTGACTTCCCTTGAGTCTACATTACCATATGTGTGAAATATGTAAATATATACATATACATATATATATGAACTAGCATTGTTCTTTGACAACTGCCTTGTGACATAGCTATACCCTATCATTTGTGACTGTGAATTAATTTGACAGGCTGATCATTTTGAATAGATTGAATAAAAGATTTCAAAGGTTTACAAAGTGGGCAAAGAATTTACAAGGGTCACGTCAAGAGGGTGGTGCCTGGAGCCAGCAAAAAGCCCAATATGCCAGCTCAACCACTGTGGCAAGGTGAGGGTGTACCCCAAGAATACACATGCCTCGACGCAATCAGATTATCCCTTTTTGCAGTTAGAAGTAGAAAGAGGAGGAAATACAATAATAAATATAAATAAACCAAATTGTTGCAATGTACTACCCAATTGAACTATTGAACGTGTCAGCCACCTCAGCAGAGACAGAAACAAGGACTGTTGCAGAAACAATCCATTGAAGCCCTAAAACCACAAACAGAGTCGCAGGTCATCTACCATCATCAGCAAGCATCCAAAAACCCTCTGAGAAGCCAACATTAGTGAACATATGAACCCTCCAAACATCTCAGTCTCTTCACAGATGTGGGTGACTGAATTCGGGTAATGTGAAGAATCCTGATGCAGTCATAGAAACGTCACGCTGATGAATGCCACAAGAAGTTAAGGTGGAGTGTAATACACCTGAGAATGAATTTGTGGTTGTGCGAGTGGCACCCTGGTAGGCTCTTCCCAATCAATGCAATACCTTTTTGATTCATCGCAGTCTTCCTACAACGAAGGGACAAAATGGGGGCTGTGATTCCGGCCCAACCAGGAGTAGTCTAATGCAAGGCAGCCAAAGAGAAAGGGCTGTGGTGGTGGTGTAGACTCTACAGTTGCCTTCTACAGTTGCAACACCTAATAGCACGAGTCCTATTTCCACACTCTTCTTTTGAACAGCATCGAAGCATCTGGAAAGTGCCTCAAAACTGCCTTTGGGAAACCCAATGTTGGGGAGGCTGGATTGGACGAGGAGCCAGGGTTGTGTGCTGCCCAATGCCATCCTCCACATGAAGTTTCATTCTAATCTTCAAAGGCATTAATAATAGGTAACTGAAAACTGTTTTGGTTTTTGCTTGTTGTTTATTGTGATGCACTAATGCCTGAGCTAACAGTTCATAGAGTCTCTAAATATAGGATTCATGGGAGAGAGGGAAAAAACATATATATATATATATATATATATATATACACATATACATATATATATATCTCCAGAGGAGACTCCAATTGGGGATTCTATTCATGGAATGC